TCTCATGCATTATCACTACGAAAAGTACGAATAGGAATACCAAATTGAGTTTTTATTTCATTATAAAATAACTGAAAAATAGAAAACAACTCAGACTGCTTTTTCATTAAAAATAACCAAGTACATCTGGAATAATCATCAATAAAAGTAACAAAGTACTTAAAACCCAAAGTAGAAGAATGACGACTTGGTCCCCAAACATCAATACGAGTATGTTTCCCAAACTGACAAGACTCACAATTTAAAGTAGAAAGAGATGATAAATGGGGAACCATCTTCTGAAGCTTTGCAAGACTAGGATGGCCCAGATGAGCATGGATAGTAAGAGGAGAATCCACAGTGGAGTAGGCTGAAGAAGAGGGAACTAATTCATAGAGGCCCTGAGACTCACATCCTTTGGTAATCTCCTTCCCCGAACTCCGATCCTGAAAGATGACAGAGGTTTTAGTAAAAGAAACAACACAGTCAATGAATTTGGTCAACCGACTAACAGAAAGCAAGTTAAAAGGAGAATCAGGAACATATAGAACATGATCCAGAGATAAATTAGGTAAAATAAGAACCGTGCCAATCCCCCTTGATTGAACCAGAGACCCATTGGCCATAGTAATAGTGGGAAAAGAACCAATAGTACAAAGGAAAGTGAATAAGGACTTATTACCAGAAATGTGATCAGAAGCCCCAGAATCTAGAGTCCAAGGGCCAATAAAGTGCAACTGAGATATGCCAGCAAAAGAATTACCAGAATTACCAGTGGGAGCAATGGATGCAGTAGGACCTGATGTTTGTTTCTCAGACCACCAAGTCACAAATGCTTTTGCCTGACTCCAAATAGCTTCACAAGTAACAGCAGGTCGAAAAATCTGCTTGATAGACGGATGAAGAGTAGCTTTAATGAGGCTACACAGCTGAGCATCAATCATTTTCCACCGTGTGCGCTCCTTTTCCGCCACAGATTCAGCCTTAGTGGTGAGATGGGATGTATAATTCTGTCCATCCAACCAAAGTCGCAGATCGGAAGACCAAGTATCATAGTTGGAACCATCCAACTTATCCACACTCAACGGAGCAAGGATATAATTTAAAAAAATAGCAGAGTCCGACTTTTTCTCAGCTGGAGTACCAGAGTCATTAGAGACAGGAGGGTCCATAATTAAGAGAAAAAAATAATCAAAAAAGGAAAGATCACACAACTAACCGGTAGAAGAGGGATCTGACGTCAACACAAAACGAAGTCCAAACACAGAACCAGTACCAGATCCAGAACCGTCACAGGGAGACGAAGAGAACGCAACCAGTCGCGGCCGGAGAGGAAGTCCCACGCGCCGCCTTGGTGGAGGAGAAGACTAGATCTTGCACGCGCGCGTAAGGGCGCGTGAGAGGTCCGTTGAGGGTGTGGTCGGTGCCGTTGAGTTCGTGCTTCCAAGACGAGCACGTCGGTATACAGTTCGCCGGAAAACTCCACCGGACGGTGGTGGTTGACGTAGACAGAAGCTTTAAACGCGGAAGAAAACGTACGGGAAACTGACAGCGCGACAATTCCGGAAAAAAATAAAATTTAAAAGACGATGAACAGTGGGTTCATCGGAATTTTTTTTTTTAAAAGTTCCTTAGGCTCTTAATACCATGTTAAATAACGAGAGAGAAGAGAGGAACATTTGAAATAAACTGTATGTATATATTGATATGATGAAGAATGTACAATATATAGACACTCTAATGGGCTAAGCCCAAACCTAATACAAAAGAAATAGAGAAACCCTAATTACATAAGAAATAAGGAAACCCTAATTACAATATATTTCTAACATGTTGAGATATATAGTCCCACATTGGTTGTATGAGCAACTAATGTGGAGTTTATAAGGCTTTGGGCACTCCTACCCTTCGAGCTAGTTTTTGGGTGGTGACCTATCAGAGCTTCGCCGCCCCCCACTTTCTCTTGTGGACTTTCTTAGCACAGGTAGGCCCACTTTCTCTTGTGGACTTTCTTAGCACAGGTAGGCTGGGCCTGTTGCATCTTCCACTCTTCAAGACCAATGGACTCTCGTGTGAGGGGGCGTGTTGAGATATATAGTCTTACATTAGTTGTATGAGCAACTAATGTGGAGTTTATAAGGCTTTGGGTACTCCCACCCTTCGAGCTAGCTTTTGGGGTGATCTATCCCAAGGTTCTTTACAGATGATTATACCATAGGGAACAACATCAGGCTCAAAACCCTCATCCTTCATCTCCCTACACACCTCATTCACCCTCAACAAGTTTTGCTGCTGACTCCACCCTTCTAACAAAATGGTGTAGGACTTGACATCAGGCACCAAAAATGGTGTAGGACTTGACATCAGGCACCAACCTTGTGTGCCTCATTTTGTCAAACACCTGTTGTGCTTTCTCAACACGTTTGGACTTGCAAAGAACATCAATCAACCTATTGAAATCCGAAACTTGAGGCTTCAAACCATACTGTTCCATCTTCTCAAACGCCTCCACTGCTTCTTTGACTTTCCTAACTCTTGCATACCTTCGAGCAATGAAGGCAAAAGTGTCAGTAGTCAGCAACTTTCGACGCTTCATGTCATCCACCAAATTCCAAATCATCTTGAACTGTCTGATCTTACCCAGTGCCTCAATCAAAGCATGGAAGCTCTCAGTGCTGTGCTTGAACCCTTTTTGCTTCTCAGCCCAACGGAAGAATGAAAGAGCGAGAACACCCGCATTGCTAAGCTTGTTCAATACCTCAACGACCAGCTCCGGCGACATCTCCACCGGAACATCGCTGAGAGAGACGTCAACACTGCAATCACGACGGTTGGATAAGATTTTGCAGATTCTTTCAGCATCTGGGTTGGGTTGAGTTAATGTATGAAAGGAGAAAGTGTGATTTTTAAGAGACCCAGATGGGCTTTGGGTGAGTTGGATGGAATATTGACGTTCAAAATTTGAACTTGATGAAGGTTTTGAGAGCGGAACAAGATTGGGGAAGAAGGGTTTGGTGAATCTTTTGAATGATCGTGTGAGCGCCATCGAACACTGATTTGGAAGAGACAAGCTTTTAATAGATTCAGTAAAATGCTGGTTTGCAATGTATAGTGCCACTCATAAATTAATAGAGGGGGAAATAATTAGTATAAATAATCACTTTTAAATGTTAGGACAGGTTATGATCACTAATCGATTCTAAATTTTTAATGACGACGATTGAAATATTTTAAAAAGTTAAATTTAACTCAAATCATTAATTTCTTGCTTTGTATAATATTTCATGCGAAAGATCACATTCGAGCCACAAACAGAACACAACGGAGTATTTTGTTCTGTTCTTTATTTTAATTTTTGAAGTGAAATTAAACGAGTAAATATCTTTTTTGTCCCTAACAAAAAATATAGTTCTCACAGTAGTCCCTTACAAAAAAAAATTAGTCAGTTGGTCCCTAACAAGTTTAAAGTGGACCCATTTAGTTGAAGTCGTGGTCCCTCATAATTTTAAAAAAGACCCATATTAGTCCCTCAAGGGAACTAAAATGGGTCCCCTTTGAATTTGTTAGAGACCAACTGACTAATTTTTTTTGTAAGGAACTAAAGTGGGAGACCGTATTTTTTGTTAGGGACCCAAAAGAGTTTTCAAAACTAAAGCAAATGCTGAAAATTTCTCATAGGTGACATTGTCATTAGACTAACCAGTAACTGTTCCACTAATCAACATTCAGCACCAATAAAACGCAACAACAGTGGATTTTTGGTCCAGTAACCTGAATTTTCTTATATTAATGACAGCAAAGAAATATTCACTTACAAACTTCAAATACTAAATGCTTAACAGAAATCAAAAAGACTCTTTACAAGCAAATTTCAGTGCAATTATAGAGGCACTGATTCTCTCCCAATAACTCCCAATTTGCCGGCCTCTTTTCTCCTCCTATTCTCACGGTTATATAACAGACTAAGGTTCTCATTCCACGTCAGCCACATGCTCAACCAATTTAGCACTAACCGAATGACCTCCACTCCCTTTATTTCCGGTACCTTCTTGTGAGTCAGCAATTGGATATAATCCCCTGTAGCGCTTCCTAGTGTATACCTTGAGAGGAGTCTTATCAATGAACTTGGAATGCAACAGGACTATGTGCCATTTTTTCCCGTTTGTATGTTCATTCAAAGGTCCTTAGTTGTTAGCTTCTGTTATGTTTATGCAAAACGGAAGAAAAACTTAATTATGTGGGATGGCTTAGCTGGCTCACTACCATTTCGATCAATGAAAAGCCAGTGTTTTTTTTAATCATATTCATACGAGTTTCTGTAAAGCTGTAGTAGCATAGGGAAGGATTGATTTTCAACTTGACCAACATTTTTAACCAATACATCATAACACATCAACAAATTGACCACAAAATAATCGCCACGCAATGAATAGAACAAGAAATTGGTAACAATAATGTGTTTCAATATTGATAAATAGTACGTTTGATAAATATTGACAACTGGATTGCTGTAATGTGTGATTCATTACTCACAAACTTTTACATTACACAGTGAGTTCCTATACTGGATACTATGTTTCATATACACATACAGAGCTTCTTGTGAAATGCTACAAAAACCAACCAACACCAATTAATGACTCCAAGAAAAACATATTAAAGAATACAGACTTCAAATGGAGTATCAATACCATCATCCGGTTGTCAATATCCATTTCCTGAATGCAGCAAAATACCATGTCAGCCATTCCTGAATGTATCAATACTGATAAGTTCCTGCAAGAAGGGGGAGGGGGAATGCCGGGCAATCACATACCAGCAAATTACATACTAAATAATTTAGCTAGAATTGCACTGGAAAAGCATAAAAATACTAAAGTTATGCATTAAAAAAAAAAACCTTTTTATGCCATAATCATTCCCATAGAGCAATTTTTTAAAGAGATAGAAAACAAAACAATTATATGTCTCTGTGTGTGGCTTGCACACTAGAAAACAATAGCCAAAATGGGTACCAAGTACCTGCCGAAGTGAAAAGAGCCTCAGGAGCCTGGAACCTTTCTGTGTCTAAATGACCCTTCCATCTGGAAGCTGATTTGGAGAGTTTGAATCAATAAGTGATATCAACATAAACATTATATTAATGACAGCTACCTCATGCATACATGAAATGTTGTATTTAAGTCTAAGTGGATAATAATAATAATAATAACCACAACAACAATAATAACAATAATAATAGAAATAATAATATTAATAAAAACATACTACATATTATACATTCATTAGGGCACATGAACTATTAATGTGGTTACAGAAAAGCATATGAAAAGAAACACATTAAAGGATTAGCAGAACTTGAGCCCTGTGTCCCTCTATATTCAGGAAAGCCATTTCAACCAGAATTGGCAACAAAATTAATAATCATGTACATATAACTAGTCCTACAAAGATTTCAAGAAATTCAGGATATCAACTTACAGTATAGTTCTTAACAAGGATTGTGGTTTCAAGCCCCAACTGATATTCCCTCTTGTAGTCATAACTGCAGGAAAATAGACGTAGCTATTAAGGAAACATTACAGACCACAGAAACCAAAGCGTAGGTAGAGATCTTTTGCATACCTTATATAGCATTGCTTCTCTTTGATTTCCCTAACACTCTCAAAATCAGCAGTCCTATTCAGTGCATACCTTAACGAAAGAAAATTGTGTTCCATTAGAATAGAAAGTATAAGATAAAAGAATCAGTTTTTCAACATTCTTATATTACAAATAAAATGAAAGGAATTATCCCTCACCCCATCCTTGAAACCAAATCAACAAGATAGGAAGTTATATCTCGGCCAACCACATTCATTGGTTTTGTTATAAACCTCACATTCGTAAAATAACCTCATATCCCTTTCTTCTTTCTCTTCAGTAACGTTCAATATTATATTTCAAACAAAGGGTAAAGGTGGAGTTATTTTCATAAAATAACCTCACTTTTCCACTAATATTTCTCAATCAATTAAATACATACACAGTAAATTTAACCATAAAATTTCGAGGAAAATTAATCTTACCAAACACCTTTTTAATAACATTTCAAGAAAAAAAATATTTCTCATTTTATTTTGATAATAATTATTTCCCAAATAAAAAAAATTTATCTTATGTCAAACGCCACTGCAGTGAAATGCTTTGGCAGTGAAATGCTTTTAATCATTCCATCCATTTCCTATTTAATTAAAAAAAATGAACTGGTTGCAATACATTAGTAGCTAAATACTTGTTCATGTTGGAAGATTTGAAAATTGGAACTGTTGTCGAAAAATTCATTTTTTATTTATTTATTGGATGTCTCCGATTACATGATGAATGATAATAATTAATTGAATTTATAAAATTTATTTTTATGAAAATTAATTTTGAGATGAAGTATCCTATCGTTAAATAATGTATTATTAAATTTATTATATTATTACACACACAAAATTATTATATCAAGTGCACTGTATTATTATATTACTATATATTATTAAAGGAATAATGATTTCTGCAGTTACTTCGCTGATACAAAAATAACACAGGAAGAAGAAAAAAATTTGCATCATCTACATAAATCGTTCTCCCATTATTACATGACTATGAAAAGTCTTTTGAATGGAGATCGTATAAAAAATAAACTCTTAATATATTTATCTTCTCTTTAATTTTTTTACCTTAATCACTTATATTAAGGTAAAAAAATTAAAATCATCGTTAAATTTAGTAATTTAAATTCGGAATTAGTAACGTTTTCCCTCGTTAAAAAAAGAAGAAAATGTACAGTTCGTCGATGAACTTGCCTAAACTGATAAGGATTGCAAACAACTTAAAAATAAATTGACATAGAAGTTAATGACAAAACAAAGCACATAACAGACATCAACTTGAAGTCTCAACATGATCCGAAAACTGAAAGACATGTATTCAACAATCGGACCTCTATTAATAGCTGAATACTCCCGCCTAGTATACAAATCAGGAGGTTGACCAACGGAAATAGTTCAGAGAATATGAGCTATCCCAGTCTAGTATAAAAGCCAGCAAGAGCTAAACTTCAACAAAGACCCAGCAATTTCAACAAAGACCCAGCAACTAATCTAAAAAATGAATCTTCGATTATCATCAATAATGGCCATCTTATGATCCACAGTCCATATGACGGCTATGAAACTTGGCTCTGGCCATCCTAAATACTAACTATAAAAAGAACCAACGAGAAGCGTGTCTCAATTTGTTAAATGCAGCAATGAGATTTGAACTGATATCCTCGTACGATTTACAGAATCTCCTCACCACAAACTCAATCCTAAGTTATCCCCAGAAAGATGTACAAGTGAATCAGTGCCTTCTCAAAAATACCAAAACTGCTCCTTTCTGCAATAAATTGGCAGGGATAAACTGCCATCAGACCAAAACTTAAAGAATAAAAAGTAAAAGATCTCAATATAAGGATTATAACGGCACAGAAAAGACCATTCTACCTGCCTCATCCCATTCAAAGACACATCAAGCTTAGCTGCACAGCCCTTCCCACAAGTCCACGTAGAACTTCTGTTATGACAAAACAGCAAAATCAAAAAACAACCAGCCATCCCAACCACTACTTGCAATTATCTAAGTTAAGGACAAAAAACAACAAAATAAAACAACCTCTCATGCCTAAAAACCCCAAACAAGATGCACCAGTTAAAGGTTACATGCACAGCAACTGAAACGGTCTTCTAACCAACTGTCCAACTGTGCTCTTGTATGAAAATATCCCACACAAGACAAAATATATACACTACGAAAAAGACAAAGAAAAAAACCGGAAATCACCACTTCACGTTGATAATTGCAAGAACACTGAAAATGAACAACAACAAAAAAAGCGAACGATCCCTCCCTGACAGCAAAAGGAACTTCAATTAAAAACAAAAAACAAATCAGTAACTTTGCAATAAATCAACTGAAATGCATAAGAAAACAATAATCAGCTACATAAATAATTTGACTTGAGCAGATTAGATAAAGGAACTCCACTACTTCCCATTCCCATCAAGAGGCAAGCGCCAAGGTGCCAAAATCTGTATTCCAGAATTAACATCAGTTTTTAAGACAATAATAAATACTTTAGGAAGCCTCACAATACAATAAATATAATGTATTCAACATAAAATTCATGAAGATAGCATCGTGTAGTCTATCAATGGTATAAGAATCCATATGCCTCAGAATGAGGCAAAGATTACAACAACCTTCTTAAATGGCACAATGCAAGTAATATGCTCATCTCTTTCTACCACCACGCTCTCTTAAGGTGAGGGTAAGTGTTTCTCCTCCACCAACATTGTAATGGGCAAGTGACATATTATCCTTGAGAAAGCCTGGCTTTCCACTCAATTTCTGCTTGTTAGCAGGGAGCTGGATCTCCCCAGCAATTTTTTCCTTCAAACTGCCAACAGTTTCAGACAGAGATTGCACTATTATTTCTAGAACTTGTCCTTTGAGATTTCCTTCATCAACATTAGGAACAGATACACTGATGCGAACAGGTCCCTAGGAGTGAAGAAAAAAAAATGACAGTCAGGATGATCATAAATAGCACTGATGATAAATATGATGCTACATATACAAATTGTTTTTTAAAAAGAAGGATAATTGGTAACTTGTAACTCCATACCGGATGTTGAGCCAGAAATTGATCTTCAGGGATCAGAGCAGAATCATCAAGCTTCAGCCTCTTTGGTTCTGGTTCTTCTGGGAGTGGGGATGGAGCTTCCTCTGGTGGTGGCGGTGGTGGCATTACAGGCAAAGGTGGTGGATGCATCATAGGCATCCCTGATGGTGGAAAATAGAGAGGCATAAAAGGTCGTGGAACTTGAATAGGAGTGAACTGAGATCCAGGTGGTGGAGGTATGGGAATTCCTTGGCTGTTCATATGAATTGATGGAGGCATTGGGGGTGGTTGACCAGCCATACCTGACTGCTGTCCAGAAGTCATTGGCATGGGAGGAGGGGGGGCTGGCCGAACAGATGAAATCATGGGAATGCCCGGTGGTCTGGATGGAGGAATTGGCAGGCCACCACTGTTAGGAGCAGAATACTGGACTGCATTGAGAGGAATACGAGGAAGATTCAAAGCTAGTCCAGGTGGGGGAGGAAGGGGACGAACTGAAGGCATACCAGGTCTACGAGGAGGTGCAGCAGGACCAGGAAGGTTCTTGGCTTCGTAATTAGAAGCATCATTTTGATCCTCACATCCAATATTCTGTGACATGGCTTGGGTTGCAGTCCGGCCAATACTACCAGTGTGGCCATCCCATATAACCTGCTTAGGTTGCTCATCATTCTTCTCAGTGTAGCTGGCCAGCACTGAGGAGTATATTGAGGGACAATTTACTGGAAATATAGGAGAAATTTTAATCAGGCAACTTCCATCTCAACTATTTTTATTTGCTAGTGGTTTTCTTGTTTTGCTAAGCACGTGTATATGATGTAGATATTTTTGTCGATTGTATTGAATCTTATCTCTATGATTTTGTTGACCCTTTATTGTATTGATATGGACATCAAAAAGGGTAACATCATAAGCCAATGTGCATCAAGAAGTTCAACCAAAGGGGATTTGAGGTCTATTAGATATTAGGTATAAGAGTAGTTTAGTATTTCAATGATACTCTAGAATCTTCTTTTGCTTTTTTATATAACAGCCTTATTGTACAAATTAGTTACCAATGAATGAAATTAATATTTTCCATTTTTTCACTTTTACTTTCTAATAAGGTCACTGTTGCATCTCTCAGTATTGGGCACATTTGATAAATATCTCGGTTCATAAGTAGTAATGAAAGGGTATTTGAGATGCATTATATAGAATCTTGGTTGGTAAACCAAAGGATCTTATTAGGGTAAATTCAACCAATCTGTAGTTTCTTTTTTAATATTATTATTACATTGAATATATGATTTGATTTGGATACTATCTCTATTTGGATACTATCTCTGTCTCAGGACCAAAGTGGTATAACTCATTTATTGGTTCTGAGTAACTAATCGACTGACCTGTGTGGGAATGGTTTTGCAGACCGTAGACAACATTATGTACCAAGTGCCTTTTTGGATTCTAGTTTGATTAATGTTAATCTTGTGAGTACTCCGCGTCTATGATTTAATTAAATTCCTATAAACTTGCATTATTTAAATTAACATTAAGAATCTATCCTAAATTGAATCTAGTTGTATAATTAAATTAAAACAGAATCTATAACTTGTTACTGCTTCTGGTTTGATTTTGAAACCTAGTCTATTAGTGTTATATTGATATAATATTTTATGTGACATTATATTTTACAAATATTTCATTTGGACTGATCAGTGCAAAAGAAAAAAATGGTTCTTATCATTTTTCTAGCGTAATTCTGATAGTGTCTCAAGTAAACCTTGAGTTGACCTGTTCTTGATCTATGTTTCTGTGTCAGACAAGCAAAATTTGTTTCTCTGAGAGCTTTGGTCCAACAATAATACCTTGGATCTTCCCATTGATTTTATGTTTACAATTTTGAATTTTGCTTCCAAAGTTTGATGTTTTTTGCATTATTATGGAATCCCATCATGCATTTGTAGGGGAGTTTTATAACTGATTGTTGGACAATTTAGGTGCTATGCTTATTTAGGTGCTATATGAGTTGAAGAATTCTAGAAGTTGGGTTGCGCTATATGTTGCTGATAATTGTTGTTTCATTATCGCAGAGTAAGTTTTGATTTACTTGTTTAAACCCAATTTTGAATCATTGTAGTTTCCACGAATTATAAACCTTTTTGAGTTGGAAGACATTGTTTTGTATCTCTTTTGATGAGCTTTGGATTCTGCACCCTTGACAATCATAATTTCTATCATATTGCAGCAGCTATTGGTAAAGATTATGGAGGACCAAAATTGTGTGGAAGAAATTTTATCTTGTCTAAAAGATTGCGAAAGAAGAAATAGACAAAAGGATCAACTTAGATAGGGAAAACGAGATCTATAGATTGACTAATGGACTTAACATTATTGTACCATTTTGATCATTTTTGTTACCTCGAATAACGATTACTACTTACTATCAGTACACATAAGTTTTGTTCTTTTCACTATGTGACACTTGTGGTTTGACATGATGAACTTGAGAGTATCATTTTCTTGTCTTATAATATCATATTTTGTCACCTTTAGGGTTTGCATAAAGCTAAGTACTAATCTCTTTATGTATCTACATCGATTGTTTTATAAGGTTTTAGGTTTATAAAAATCAAATTGGTTGGAAAACCAAGTTGGAACTTCGTATAGGTTGTTTCTTTGAAATTGAAAAATTACAAAAAGCTTAATAAAAGTTAAGTATAGGTTTTGTTTTAACAAAAATAAAAATACACATCAAATTTTTTGAAAGGTCAATGGGCTGGCCCTAACCCATAAGGCTATTGGCCCATACAGGCCAATATTATTGTGAGCTTTTTAGCCCTAACTCACCTGAGGTAGGGTTAAATGGGCCGGGTGGTCCATTTTGACAGCTCTAGTTATATATCTATAGAGTCGTGCACCACCCCAAAAGTTCAAAACCATTGCAGTCATTTTGAATGAATAAATAAGTGGTAGATTTTTGCATCAAATTATATATTTTTTTTTTGGAGGTTACAAGGAATTGAACACAACACCCTACACTACACACACTCCTAACACACACACCCCACACCACTAGGCTAACCCTAGTGGTATCAAATTATATTTTTTAATCATTATCTATTTTTGTTTCTTTCAAGACTTAATGATGTGATATATAAATTGATTGGCTATGTGTTTTAAGATGAAATCGAGAAAAAATTATTACTTGTGCAAGAGCTAGACCCATTGTCCCTCCTAGGTTTCGGATGGTCCATTTTTATCATTCCTTCATATATCTCAATGTATTTATTTTGTTATCTCTTTCTTTTTTCTTTTTTGGGTAAGCATTTCTCTCTCTTTTTTATCTCACTTATTTCCCCCTTTATTCTTCTTCTCTTTTTTTTCTTTTAATCTCTCTATTTTAAAAAAAAAATTAAATGTATTTTTATTTTTACTTTCTTATTATTTTTCTTTCATGTTATTTTTCTTTTCTGTTATTTTCTCCTTTATGTATTTTTATTTTCACTTTATTTTATTTTATTATTCTTCTTAATTATTTATTGTTACATTTTCCTTTTTAGTGTTATTTATATTTTTTTAATTTTAATTTTATCCTTTTTTTTCTTATACTTTTTTATTTGAATTATCTATCACCAACCACAAATCTTAGGATAAAAGTGATGTTGGTATTATTGATATATCGAATTTAGTAGTAAGGGTGGTGAACTTGACTTATAGTAAGTATAACTATCCCCCTAAATATAACTTACATGTAGCAAGATCAACTTGCATTTGTATAAGATTAATAAGTCTTACACAAATTTTAATCTTTAACTTCTGTGTATCTAACCACTATTATAATTTTTTTAAAACTAATAATTAATCAATAAGTATGACTCAATAAATTATAACCTTAGATTCACGATAATCAACATTTAAGATCTTATGTAAAACTTATTATTCCTACACCGGTATAAATGTTATTTTTGAATGTGTTTATATAAGTTTTTATTTTTAAGTAACACAAAACTTTATATGATTTAAATACTAATATGCATATTTTTCATTTACAATAAATATTTATACATCCTATATCGGTAATTATGTGTTTACGTATAATTATTTCATTATTTATAGCTTAAATATTAATATGTCTTAATGTAAAATTTCCGTTCCAATTAAATGCAAATTTTATTTTTGTGATTTATGTATTAATATAATTTAATAGAAATATTTACCTTTACAATTTAGATATTGTTAGAGTGTAATATAAATCATTAAAAAGACCCTTACCCAACACCTTAAGGTTTTGGGTTGAAGTGGTTCTTTACATGGTATCAGAGCTTCAGTGACCATAAGGTTACGAGTTCGATCCTCACCGCCCCACTTTCTAGTGGAATTAATTAAAAAAAAATTGGCCTGTGCAATATCCACACTTTAAGCCCAAAGGGCTCTTGTGTGAGGGGGTGTGTTAGAGTGTAATATAAATCATTAAAAAGACCCTTACTCAACACCTTAAGATTTTGGGTTGAAGTGGTTCTTTACAGATATTGAAATAATTTTATATATATATATGATGTAAATATTTACTTCAATATTTAATCAAAGAATTTGCAACTTTTAAAATTTTTAAATGTATCTTTAATTCCTTAATGGAAATTAAAAGAGTACATGATAATGTTAAGTATAGTTTTCTTTTAACATTTAATGGAAGACAAATTTTAATATTTGAACAACTAAAAGATGGTCATCATAATTATTTTAATTATTATTAATATCTTAATGATTAAAAATTAAAAAATAATAATAGTTGTTGGCATTTACTAATTGCATGATAACCAATCATAACTGGTGAATGTTACATTTTTATAGTCAAACTAGTATATTACCCATGCGATGCACGGGAAAAAAGATCAAAATTTGTGTCGTCCGCCATGATTGGTTAATCGCACTGCAAACCTTATATTTACAAAAACTGCGTTGTTATTTTGTTCTATATTTCAGGTGAAAAAAATTACAGCATTGACACAGAGCTTTGTAAATATCAACCACAAACAAAAATTTGTTATTCAGAAAAATAATTAATTTTGCATACAACTACATCATAATACACCATAATACGTTATAATACACCATGTTAAAATGAGAAAGGGATATAAAAAGAAAAATGTGTACACATCATTGCTAACTATAACATTTATCAACAAAATCAAGGTAACAATAACACCAAGCAAATATGGATTTAAAATATCAGCTTTTACCTATAATATGAAAATGCTATTCATTCAGTGTCATTTCTTAGCAATCATTGGAGGGATGAGTTCAACACTTACTAAATATGTCATTTCTTGTGTGATTTTCGTTCCTTGTGCCTACGATACAGAAGGCAAAAACTCATTAAATAAGTAACACTAATATGTTAACACCCAACTAAAGTCATAGTATCGGCAAAAAAAAAAAGATTGGATTAAATTTTTTTAAGGACAAAAAAAAAATGTTGTCTGAACGAGATTTGAATGCAACTTAATCAAATAAGCATGTATAAGTCATATTTTTTGCTTACATTGCAACAAATGCATATGAACAAAATAAAAGCAACTACACTAATCTTTGAATCCACAACTCGCAGAATACAAAAAAAATATCGCCAGAAAGCCTTAAAAAATCCTTGCAACTTTTGCAGTAGTATTGCAAAGATCGACAAACCCTT